AGTTCTTCCTCTGCTTTATCCAAATTTTTAACAACCATTGATTTCTGGTCCCGAATAGTTTCTTTCATCTTATGAAACTTCTGGTTTGCTCCTGTTTCTCGTACATCCACATCATTTAACATGGTGCTCACATGTTCCTCCTTTTCCTCACAGCTTTTCAGACGATCTGTTAACTTCTCCTTTGTTTCCTGAAACATCTTCTGCACTGTGGTGCAGTCATGGTCAGGTTTGGTATGGTCGAGAACGATACAGTCCCTGCAGATACGTTTCTTGCAGGTTCTGCAGTAGAACCTTCGCAGTTCACCGCCATGCTCTTCGCACTCGTGTGCCTTTCTCCACAAGCCCTCTTCCATCCACTTGATTTGGATAGTCCCGTTCTCAATCTTGTCCAGGGGAACTGTACGGTGATCTTTCATCAAGAGTTTCATTTTAGCATGAGAGGAAGCGCATGAGTCACAGATGAAATGGAGACAGTCTCGGCAGTAGGTTGTCAGAGGTGATTCGCTGTCCCCACAAGCGTCACATATTATTTGGGTCGAGTTTTTCGTTGCCTCAAGAACTTCGAGAACCCGTAAATCAGCGGATTGGACTTGAGACCTGCCACACCTTCTCTCGAAAGAGTAGTCACCTCTCTGCACATTGGGCATGTTATACCACCTGAACGGCCTTGTGATGCCTTATCGCACTGCTTTAAACATTCTTCGCAGAAAGTATGCCTGCATGAGAGAGATTTGGGGTTCTTTAAGGTGTTCATGCAAACGGCACAGACAAGTTCACGGACAAGTTTTTCCACAGCTTTCGCCGCCATTTTCTGTAGAATTTCTTTATTTGAACAGGCCACGATAAAGCGTGCTAACTGGTCGACACACAATTATCAAATGTAACGCCGGAAGAGAATGACTCCTGTCGAATGCAATATCCGATCAATGATGATAACGCGTTCCGTGTATTATTGGCAAAACGTATACGGTGGGAATCCCCATCGCTAATATTAAACATTAGAATCAAATAAGTTTCTTCAATGCTAATATTAAACTTTGGAATTCCCCACTCCCTTTTTAGGATCGAGGTTGGATATAAAAACAAATGAGTGCGCTGTTTTTTTTTTCTCTTCAAGATTTTAGCTTTGTTATTTCAATTATATGAACATTCAAGTTTTCTTCGTATTTGATAGAACAAATTATGTGAAAAATAGGGTAAAAGCCTATTTACCCTTTCAACAAAAACTAAAATTACTGCAAAATTACCCCCGTGATCTGTCTATTTATGAAGAATTCAGTTTCACATACATTACAGCCATGATGAATTTACAAATTTCTTTGACTTCGGAAGAAAATATCAATTTGTTTTACCGAACTTATTGTTAGCTTGAATTTGTTTCCCCTTTGGGAGTAGGTCCTAATTTGTCTTCCTATGTTTGATGGTTTTGCTGCAAATACCTTTGAGCTCTCTTTCTTCCTTCTCTTAACCTAGACCGACGTATCTTATAGGATTTAAAACAGTAGTTGCGGGGGCATGGGGGCACGTACCCCACCTCCGTCCATTCGAAAGGAGAAACATAGAGGGAAGAGAGAGGGG